GTATTCTAGCCTGAGTATGCATTCCCAATAATTACATGCTTTTAGCTTAAATCAGCTTTCCTGTCTGTGATGAAAAACTTTTCTCCCGTGTTGGCCTTAAGCTCCAACTAATTTTCCTAAGAGTATGCTAAAAATCCCTGGCTAAAGATGATTAGCCTTGCTCATGGCTGCAGCTGGAATGCAGACGAAAACCACCCAAGGGCAAGTAGTCTTCAAACATCCTTCTCAAAGTTCCTGCTGGGCAGGGCTATCTCCCACCACTGCTGAGCATGGGAGACAGACTTCTCATCACTGTCCTTCGCTGGAGACTCCCAGTGCCTCTCTTCACAAGGAACATGCCGCAGTAACTCCTCCCAGTCACCTGGGAGTCTAGGCAGCTCTGCTGTGATGATGCTTGCACCTCAAGCACTATGCCCAGGATGCCAAATATCTAACCGTGTCCGTATTTTAAAAGTATTCAGAAGAGAAGAAGCAGATTAAAGAGGGTGGGGAAACAGTTGCAGCCCAGTAAAAACCTCATATGATCATCAAGGGGAGAAAAGATTTATCTATATTCACAGCACCTGCAATTGCAAGAGGGATGGTCCAAAAAGCAACCTTGTTCTAGGAGAGCAAGTCAATCTCTGCTGACCCATCACTTCATAATCTGTAAAATAATTCACAAAGACAACACTGTTTATATCATCCAAAGCAAGTAATTTTTCCATGTGCTGACATACAGGAATACAAATTGTCCTCCAAGACTACATGCAAATCACAGACTAAAGAAGCAGTTTTTGTCCAATAAAATTGTTCTACATGCGCATGATGCAAGCATGGTCCATCTTCCATTGAGTCAAACTTAGGGCTTTTGTCTGCACCATCTTGCTCCCTCCTTTGGTAGTTAGTTTTTCATACTTGTACATAGAGAACACTTCTAGAAATTTTATGCTCACTCTATGCAGGAACAAAGCAAAGACCAAATCTGTCCAGACCAAGCATTCTTTCTGCACTAAGATGTGCAAGAGAAAGGTATCATCAGTTTTTTCTTCCAAATTCTCCAAAACTTATTTATCTGAAGACAGCAAAGCCCTTTCTTTGAGGGCTGACTGATTTTCTTCTTGATTATTTCTCAGAGGAGTCCACTGACAACCCACAATGTATCAAAAACTAGCATCTCACCACTCTTTTCCCCTCCCTCCTTCTTCCTCTGCCTGTAACTGCGTTCTCTGGTACTGTGTTGTGTGGGGGGTTTTTTTGACAGGAGTTTCCATTAATCAGCAGAGAGACATTGTTTTCCGCCTGCTTCATTAGGGACAAGCCATTCATCCTTTCTGCGTGAGAAAGGTAAAGTTCAAGAGCGCAACTAATTAAAAGCAACTAATGACCAAGTTGGCCTCGCAGACAGTGCAGGAAAGGCAGCTTGCCTGTGGACGTTTTAACAAGAAACTGTCTGACCTTTGTGCTCCAAGCAGCCCAGGAAACGGTTGGCGATCAAAGGTTTGTTTCTCAGGCTGATGCCCATTTGTAGACTGCACAGACAGCACTCTGGACGTGACAAAGCCATCGACTTGCCATCTTTATGCTTACGGGAATGACGCTAGGCGACCCACTTGAAGGCTGTACAATTGTTGGGGTCATAACAGTGCCTGAACATCACAAACCTGAATACATACTAAGAATCACTAGGCATACAGGGGTGATGCTCTGTACTCCAGCAGTCTAGAAGCTCTGCTGGAACCCCCAAGTGTTACCTTGGACGTGAATTAAGAAAAGCTGAGTCTGAGAAACCACTTCAACCTATTCCAGCGGGAGTAATTTTTAATGATACCAAAGAGGTGAGTTTTTTAGATTTTACCATGTCTTTCGGGGTTGTTACTATGTGAAAGTCAAGTCTTCAAGTTCTCCGAGTCACTCCTAAAGTGGTTTTATTATATATTTACATATTGGCTAAAACAGATGTGCAAATCCTAGCATTGATTACGCTAAGATTTCCCTTATTTCATAAAATGAGAAGAGGCAGCACATGGACACAACTGAACCCTAAGGCATTGTCACAGACAAGGAGAGGAGGAGAAGAGAAGACAGCCATGGTTGTCCTGGCAGGAGGGCCAGACAGCAGAGGTGTGCCCAGCTGGCACCACTATTCAAAAATACCTGTGTGGATGCTCATACCTGAAAACATTTGAAGAAATTTCCCTCTTTCTCTCAACTTTTGAGTACAAGCTTTACGTAAGAAAATACATGAGCACTTGGGTCATAAACATCAGTTTTAGTTAATTACACCCACCTCCTCCAAATACATGAATTTACTTCATCTTATGATTTTTATCTAAAATTCCCTTTCTTCTTCAGTGCTTTGACATGGAAAAACCCCAGTTCATCAAAGAACACAGTCTGTCCCTCAGTGCAGCTGACGGCAGTCACAATGTGCTGCCATGTCATAAAGAAAACAAAGATGGCAAATGCTAATTACGAAGGTAACAATCTTTAAAGTTACTTTTTAAGCAGACTTTCCTTGCTGGGTTTCACTGGCTCCCTTTCTCCTTCCATTTCCTCCGGGCAGAAAATGCATATTATTTTGAGAGTTTGCAAAAAATATAGTTAAGCCATAATTAGAAATTGCAGTTAGAATTTACTGCAAATAGAAATATTTAACTGAATTTTGAAAACTTAAAAATTTCAGTCATCATTTTATTAGACAAAAGTTGCTTAGACTTCTGGTTATTTCTTTAGGATTTTCTCTTACTTTTTTGGAAGGAGAATCACAGTCTGTTTCTGTTCTTGTTTCTAAGAGTTCTTTTAAATTGATCTCTTACCTGTCAAGATGAAGTCTGATTTTCAATAGTGAAATGTTTTTTCTGGCATTAGAACAGCTAGGCAAGAGACCTAAAATTTTAAAGGCAATTGAAAAAAATGGCAAACTAGAGGAAAGGGTAGTTTTTTGGTTGTAAAAGCGGTTCCTTACTGTCCTCTAGTGGAGTAACAATATCCTCACAGTCACCAGTTGCTCCTTTCTGCTTGTACCTCAATCTGCTGCTGCCCCTTGGCATGGAACCCTTCCTGCTTACTTACTGCTTCCACACTTCATGGCTTCACTGGCATCTGTTACACTCGTTCTTCTGCGCCTCATTTTCAGATTGAATCTTACCTTCTGCTTTGGAAATTTTCCCCTTTTCTATAGGCCCATTCTACTTGCACAGTGAGTAATTTAACCAACCCATCCACCCTTTCTCAAAACTTCCAAAGAGAAATGAAACGGGTCCTAAGCAGAACACCGTCATTTCCTCTCGCTGTGGTGATTTATGTACCTTTAAATGGGCATAACTAGGAGAAAGCTTTTCCTTTTATATCGTAACAGGTTGGTTTTACTACGAGCTGTCAGAGGAGACCTACAGAGCCTAAAAGACCATCAGAGTAACTTGCCTTTAAAAAAAAGTCGGCTTTTCACACTGTATCCATAGCTCTGAAAATCTCATTTATCATACTCTCATCAATTAGCCCACTGCTTCCAATACTCCGTAAAACTCATCAGCCTGCACCTCCACTGATTGCCCTGGAGTCTTTTTTAAAGCCTGATGGCAGAATTGTCACTTTGCACTTCTTGACCATCAAAAAGCTGCTCGAAGTGACAAGTTCCCTGCTACCGTGAAGAGGTGCAGCAGCTTCTTCTCTCACTTCTGAATCCATGGGAGCAGGCTCCAGGCTCACGTTCATTGCACCAACCTTTTCTGCCTTTTTGGTTTACAACAGCTTCTGCAGAGAAAGGCTCCGGGGTACTTCCATAGTGAACATCGGCGCAAAAATCCCAACGGTTCTTGTCACCTTAACCTTTAAATGTTCCCATTATCATGGTATCATTTACCAGCTCACTGTGAAGTTTGCTCTTTCCGATAGTTCTTAAAAATAGAGTTTATAATTAATTCAAGAAACATTTTTATATAGCCTATGTCAAAGCAGATTTTACATTTGATGAGTTATAATGTGTCTCCCCTTTTCTTTTCATGGACATAACTTCTACTATGTAAAGGTTCTCCGTAGTTAAAAGGGGCCTCCTACGTTTTTTTGTCAAATACTTTTAAAAGTACTTTTTCAGAGCATGTAATAGTTTTCCTTAAAAACGTTCAAGGTACCTGCAAGAATTCCACCTTTTTGGCAGCATCTGTTAATTTTCTTCAAAGTTTTCTTGTTTTCAGGAAACAAGACTTACCCTGGCATGGGTTCTTTGACTACTTGCCTCAAAAAATGAACTTTTGTAGTGCGTAAATGTTTATTGTCAGCATATGTTAGCATATATGGGAATGACTAAAGATGTTCATTGGTGTTTGGCTTTAGGCCTTTGCTATTCCTTAGGATATAACCCTGTGAAATGCTAAAACAAATCAAGCAACTAAGCAGGTACACTGGGGACAATGCCTGGCGATATTCTTTCTTCCATTTTTCTGGAAGGCCTGTGATTTCAGCTTGAATGTTACTTAACATTATCTCCTTCTACAAAAAACTATTTTAAAGTATTTCTGGAGACTCCTTCATAATCTACTGGACATCAGTGGTCATCATCTAGGAGAACTCCATGCATACCTGTCATCCAAATTAAGAAATAACAATGTTCATTTCTTTATCAATAAATGAGACATAGATAAACAAAGAGATCCAAATTAAGAAAAAAAAAAGATATTCTAATTTCAACATTGAGGAAAACATAGTGCTATACATTTAACACCAAAATTTAAGAGAGACACTTAGACTCCCTAGTTTTCCAAACTATTCACAGCAGATATGTTTCATATTTAATACAGCTTTATTACAAGTAGATATAACCATTATTGCCAAAAGAGAAAGACCATATAAAAAAATCCAGTGCAAAATAAAAGCACCCTAAAAATCTGCATTTCTGTTCTCGTTGACAGGCATTTAGCCCTTGAAAAAACAACTGGTTTCAAGGCATTCAGAGCAGTTACTCACTGATACAAAGTTTAGACAAGATTTATCAGGGAAAAAATGTGAGACTCATTGTCTGACAGGTGCAAAAATTAATACAAAATGTATTAACACAATATGAAACAAACATACATTAAATAGTTTTGTTTCCTGGTACATCAGATTTTCAAATTAATTTTATAAAATTTGCATATTTAACGAAAAAATTTATATATCATTGTGGAAAACATAGTTTTATACTTCAAGTTTATATTAACTATAAATATCTAAGGACAGGAAAGATACTCTTCAGGCTGACGTGCCCTACTTCCCCATTCTTTATGTCTTCTGCTCTTTGCCTTTTGGCGAAAACATTACGGCATAAGGCTGTCGTCTTTTTGGACGCTGACAAGGAGCAAGGTCCTCTTTAACATATCCTTGAGAGAATAAGAACAAATCTAAGGTAAGAAATACAATGTAAAAACATGCATAACTTCACTTTCATTTTTTGTTTAACCATCAAAAAATAGCTTGTGCTTTTAATTTTTTTTCTTTCATGACAACTGGCTCTCACTTGACAGAAAGCTCAGGGTACAATATCATTAATGAAAACACTCAGCTGCATTCTAGCAGATGACTGTATAGCAATGCAATGCAGACAGACAATACTGAAGAGGAAAGTGGAAACCATTTTTTGTCTATTCAAACCAAAATTTCATCCTTCATTTGCCTTTTCTACAGAAGATTTTACATAAGAGTAAGAAAGTACAGCAAATTCAGTTGTCTAATAAAAAAATCACTTTAAAAAACGTATTTCCTGGTCATAGAGAGAAAACTTCAGGCGCATGTGCACTGTGGGTCCAAATAGTACATACCTCTGTTTTAAGGACTTTTTTATTTATTAAAGACTTGTCCATCTGGAAAAAGCCAAACATGAATCTACAGATTAAACACACCTTGAAAACTCTCTGATAAGGAAAGTTTACAGAAAATGTCTGTAACATGCTCAACTTGGCTAACACTGATAGTAAGTAGACATTTTATGCAAATGAATTGCAACATCTGGCTTTTGTCAAACCCTTACTGTTTATCAGCACGAACATCCACTGAAGTGAGAGTAGTAGATTTCCGACTTTATAGCTGGAAAATGCTGTCTGTGCAACTCAGTTATTTAAAAAACCCCAGTGCAATCTACAATTGTTGCAAGATACCAGAAAGAAGTAGAAAATACATCCTTTGTACTTCACTACTTCGGAGTGACAGCTGCAATTGCTCATTGTGGGAACTCTCTCTAGTGTTCTTGCTGAGCTCTTATATAATATGGCTTTTTACCAAGAAAGGTCTGATCTAAAGTCTGCCTCCCATATGTTGTTGAGGACCATTAACAGCTGAAGAGCTGTCGCTCTAGAGAAGGAGGGGATACCAAGAAGCTAAACTGTAACAAGGTTGCAAGAAGCTTCCAAATGGGTAGTAAAAGACAATCTCCCTTACAGGATACTTCAGTCACCTGAAGTGAGAAATGGATGTGCCTAGTTTAGACGAGCTTTCTCATCTGCTGGAACAGGTAAGAGGCAATCAGGTTGGAAGAGGAAGGACTACGATTTGTTCATCTTCAACGATAATGATCAAGAAGCAAAAGCGGATTAAGCCTCAGCCAAGCCCTGTCTACCTGGACGCTACACGCACAGGGTGCGGCAGTTCAGCAGTGCTCCTGCGGCGCTGGCCAGTGGGATTGAGGGATTCACTTTTTCTCATGTGATACTGGAGACAAATTTGATAGGGAAAAAAAAAAAAGTGGAACATTTTCCTGACTAACCAAGCCCAAGGAAACTTAAGGCGTGCCTGCAAATTCCGTGACTAGCTTAACCCTTTGCAGTGGATGTTTAAGGGAGAGTTTGACTATGGCTGCCAGAGCAAATCTGACATTTGTCCCTAATGATGTGGGAGGAGGCTTAAACATGATGAACACCATGTCTGAAATACCACATTTCTTGGAAACACAGATTCAAATTTTAAGGAACTCAGAGAGAGTTCATATAGGGCTCCTTACCACAGTATTTCACCACTTCTGAAGAAATGTACATATAGTACACTACAAACTCATTTTTATACCAAGCTCTAGGAATTTTAGAAGATTTATTTAGGAAAGAACAATCTACTGTGTGGAGTCAATTAAAAAAAAACAAAACCCAGCCAGCTTTTGGGTGTCACTAACAAGCAGCATATATTTAAACACACCCTACCTTCAATATTTCCATCATCGTGTGGTGTTACGGAGCTATAAAGATACAGACAAAGGACATCAACAGTGCTGCCTGTCTCACCTCAGCAACTACAATCTCTCAGCTTTTGCCTCTGAAAATGCTGACTCAATTCTTGCTTTGCTACAAAGACATGTAGTATTTTAATTAAGTTCTATGAAAATCCCAATTATTTCTGCCTTCTCTATCTAGACTTTAAGAAAGTTCCTTTATATTCCATTCTTAGTAGTACAGGAACTGCTAAATAAAGACAATATTTATACAAAATACTGGTTGCTGATAAATAAACAGACCTTAATAAGACTGGGTGAAAAAGACTGCTTTATGAACCAGAGACAATTTCAGGAAACTATTTCATTAAAAAAAAAAAAAAAAGTTTAAAAAGTGCTTTGTAAGCCTTTTTTGCACAAACCTCTTTCCACACAAGTTTGGGTTGAAGGAAATCCAACCTCCCAGAAATTTTCAGGAGTATTTGGAGGAATGTAACGAAATCTGTGTCTTGAACAGGAAGCTAGTTTCTTTGCTCTCTCTTCTTCTGGAATGTCTGCATAATACTAAATGTTCGGGAAAAAAAATCCAAGTTAAAAAATTCATACATATAAAGCCACTTCTTTATATGACATTGACAATCACTGTTTATTAACACAGTTATCTAAAAATAATGGTAAGGATAGACAAGAGTAGAGATTTGTTATACACATGACAAACTCCTGGCTATTATTCTAAAAGCTTATTATCACAGAATTACTAAGGTTGGAAAAGGCCTCTAAGATCATCAAGTCCAATCTCAAGCCAACACCACCTTGACTACTAAACCGTTTCCCGAAATGCCACACCTATGCCTTTTTTAAACACCTCCAGTGATGGTGACTCCACCACTTTGCTGCGCAGCCTGTTCCAGTGCCTCACCACTCCTTCAGTAGAGAAATTTTTCCTAATACCCAGTCTAAACCTCCCCCAGCACAACTTAAGCCCATTTCCCCTCATCTTATCACTTGTTACTTGGGAGAAGAGACCAACACCCACCTTGCCACAAGCTCCTTTCAGGTAGTTGTAGAGAGCAATAAGGTCTCCCCTCGGCCTTCTCTTCTTCAGGAAAGACCAACACCCACCTCATTACAATACTCTTTCAGGTTCTGGCCCACCCATGGTGCTTAGTCAGCCGCAAAAAAAAATCTGGTATTAGGCTTAGGGTTCAGAGAGCCAGAAAGTCTCCAGCAACAAGGGCACAAGGGGTGAAAAAGGCGGGCCAAGGGGAGAGCAGCACTGCACCAACATCGATCCCTTCCCAGGGCAGTGGTGGAGTTCCCACCCCTGGAGTTATTTAAGAGCCATGTAGGCATGGTGCTTAGCAATATGGTTTAGTCGAGGACTTGTCAATGTTAGGTTAATGGTTTGACTTAATGATCTTAAAGGTCTTTTCCATTCTAGGCGATTCTGTTATAGTTTAACTAACTGACTGACACCAGGACTCCAGAAAACATCTGCCACCTGAGCAGTCTCTACAGTCTATAGTAAATTTGCTAGCTACTTTCATTCCTGTCAGCTGTACCAGTGGCTTCAACAAGAAAAGTACATATATTCTCCAAATTTTTTTTGCTGAGTGTTCCCATGAATAGCATCACAGTTGGGTTTTTAACATGATGTTTTTTACTGGTTTAGTTTGTGATTCTAGGTTGTACCTCCTAAAAACTGCTAGCAAACTGGCACTTAGGTAGCATAGAGCGCTGAAGTATTTTCAAAGTGAATGTACTGTTTGATTCAAGTGGCAAGCCAACAGTCATAGTCTGGATTGCACAGGAAACCTGACCATTATAAAACTGGTAAACCAATTCTACTGAAATGATAGTGTTACAATTCAAAAAGGCAAACTAAAGTTTAAAACATCATTCAATCAGCTGGAAAGCGATCTAGACTGGGGAAAACAGGAAAGGAACAGAATACCTCTATCAGTAGAGATTACCTCCTGTCCCTGTCTACCTGTAGAACTTCAGAAAATCTGCTTGAATAGTAAAGACCACTAATAAATTCCTTTTTTCTTACTAGATGGCAATGTATAAAATAGGCATAAAAATTCTCCTCCAAACAATCATGAGAATAAATATTGATCATTGATTATAGAAAAGAGTAACCACAACTCTGAAAATGTGACAAAACCGCATGAACTAGGAAAGGCAGACTTGCTTCATTTTGTGACTCTGTAGACTGTGGGAACTGCAGCTCCGTCTGAAACCGGGGTACATTTTCTATCCCGACCCAAATTGATTCAGATTTCTTGGTGTTCTACAAAGGCAACATATTCTGCTCTCAAAGCTCTTACCAGTACAGGAATCTGATTTAGTAACATGTGGGTCTCCCGGTCAAGAACAAAGATTCAGGTTGTCAGCAGGTTGTATCCAAAATTTCAGATTACGATCTGTCTACTACAAAGTCCTGGTACGCAGGACAGAATAGACGGCCAGTTCCAGAGCTAACACTCAGGGTGCTTACGCGCCCCTAGTAAAAGGTTCTTCGAAATGTACTGTGTACAAGCCCAGGGTACTCACACACTTTTGACAGCACAAGACTCCTTCAGCCACTGAATTGGAGACACTCCAATTTGAAGGGTTTGCTGCTGTCTTATACAGTGTTCCTTTAAACAGGAAGAAGGCTATGCCAAGAGCAGAACTTAAGCAGATCTAAGTAGCTGGGGGACTAAGTCAGAATAGGGTCACTCATGCAGCTATACTTCAGAGACTCAGCTGGAAAAAGGTCTGTGTCAAAGATCTAGAGTCTAATGAACAAAGAGGAACAGATAATTATTATCTAGTACACGTCAATTTTCCCTGACAGAAGTTAAGAAATGATATAGTGTTAAGTCAACAAAAATAATTAAAAGAATTCTACGGTATCTGTGTAGACCAAATAGGTGAAGAGCTGAGACTCATTTAGGGATAATTACCAGAGCACCTTATATTTATCCTTTAAATAGCTTGGAATTCTAGAAATCAGTCTCCTGCAAGTTTGCAGTGTGCTGCGTTATTTTTTTTAATTGTGTTTATGATCGGTGAGGAATATTTATGGATCAAACAATGAAAAACAGAGTTCAGTTTTGTAGGAACAGAAAATGAAAAGACCAGTCAATAATCAAGCTAAGTATGTATTAAAAAGAAATTGGAAAGTAACTCTTTTAAAAATTTATTTTGGCTTGTTTAGAAATCTCTTAGGGTTGAACAAAGAACGAGGAAGTTATGTACGTCTGCTAAAAAGCAGAAAGGTAGAAAATGCTATAGATAGTGAGATCAGTCTAGAAAACTCTCATCTGTTTTCTAGACTGATCTCACTATCTATAGCATTTTCTACCCCACAAAACATCTGTGGCAGGCTTTTCATGTGTGAAAAGATATGCAAAATCTCATCCTGCAGTGTCTTCACTGTAAAATAATTGTTTACAGAACTCTACGATTTGCCATCACAAAAAGAGAACCCTTGAAAGTTCCTCTCATTAGTCACAAAAAGTTACTTACAGAGTAATTTCTGTAATCTAAATGAATATAAAAGCATCTGATTCTTCTGCTTCTCTGAAGTGCAACTAGACTTAATAACCACACAAACAAACATTCTACAATCTACCAGTAACTCCTGCACACAGTCTTTCTCTGATCAAATCGCAAAGTCGAAACAAACCAAACCAAGGCCTCTTATCAAGCGTTCTACACTGTTAAGCAAACAAGATGCTTCCACAAAGCTTTAAGATAACGATTTACAAAGGACTATGATATCACTCTGCTACCGCATGTGCAGAAGTTAAATCTCTCCCGTCTTCTCAGAATGACAGGTCATTCTCCCCACTCATACTGCTTGCAGCACACGGTCAGAAACAATTTACTCATTCCTACCCACTCCCTCGATATTTCCGCAGACTCTAGAGACTTTTCAAACCTATACAACTAACACGTAAGCCAAGGCTTTTTGAAACTATCATTCATGCTTTGTCTAATATTTCCTTCTTCCACAGGCATTTCATTCAAAGCCAGTTTTGTTATGGTGCAATGACACAGCCAAGCATTCCACGCATTCCAAGACATTCATCTGGAACGGAATAGACTTTAGAAAAAAAAACTAACTACCCAAAAATCAACTACAAATCCAAACTTTTCTGAAGTTTAATGTAGAAACCTAATATTGCAAAACTGGAGCTGTAAATGTTTCCAAACACCATGGTTACCACTTTAACTTGCCAGAAAGTAACAAGAACTAAATTTGCTCGGAGGAGGAGATCTTGTAACTTACAGAGACAGGAAATTAAAACACTTCAGTCATGGCTCTTGGGTCTAGAACGTTTGGGGTTTGGGGGCTTTTTTTTCCCCTAAACATCTTGTTTTCTTTCAACCTCTTTAAATCAAACTTATTTTTGAAAATGGAATTTATAGTTGATTGCAAAACTTAATTATTTGTATTTAGTGATTTTTAGCAAAGTTATATTTCAAGAATTCATTTTTGTTAAAAACATAATTATAAATTTCTTCAGCTAAGTAAATATGACTTGACTATAAAGCGAACAGCAGGAGAATCTATGAAAAGTGCTGGTTCTACATAGGTGTGGAAATTAAGTGAAAAGATTCCAGAACATCCATCATTATTCAGTCATTAATGCACACTTCTGACGAGTCATAATGTATTAGATCATTGCCTAATTAACTCCAGCCTGAAAGTCTATTAATGACCAAATGAAACATGTCTTTGTTACACATGTAACTACTTCAGTATTTTATCTGTATACCAAGTATCTGAAAGCAGTTTAGTAATTTGAAAGGTAAGAATATCAAGCAATGCGAAACCTAAAATTTCATACTTTTTAACCTGCTAATGTAAATATTTTTGCATTCATTTACACACACATACACACTGGCAGCTATGCTCGTACAATTTTCTGGGGTGTCTGTGCGTTCAGATAACAAGAAAAAAAAATCAAGATATATCTCTCTATAGGTACAACAGGACATAGAACTTATTTATTCCAGTGCCTGTAAATTTCAGTAGAGCTTTTTGAGCTAAACCTTAGAAACTTGTAATCATTCTCTGACCAGGTAAACAACAAAGAAAAACTTAAGAAAAATCTTACTGTAACTACAATGTGAGAAGTTTCTACCATACAGATACACAGCCTTTCCCCTAAGACTTTCTAAGTTAATTGCAGCTAACTTGGTCAAACATCTTTGGTAAACATTTATTTCTCTGCTACTCTAGGTACTGAGGACGATGCAACAAGGTTTATAATTTCAACAGCACTTCAGCACTTAGATACCAGCAGAGTTAGGGGAATGGAAATTTTAAAACATTACTTACTATTTCACATTCCTTACAAGTATGGCCAGGCAATTTTCTTCTTTCTTCTTTCTTTCGAATAACCTCAATATGAGGAAAATCTAACATGGTATTCTTTCTGAAAAATAATGTTTTCCCATGATAGTACATTTATTTCTCCTATGGAAACCTCCCATTTTTAGAATACAAAGGAGAGTCTCAAGAAAAGAAAAAATATCAAAAATGCCTATAAAGCCCAATCATACTGCATTGAATAGTTGAATAGGGATATTTTTATAACTAAAAAAAAGAGTTCCAGGATTTTTAAAATGTAAGCAATTACGTGTATTTCATTATTATGGCTTTTCATAGTATGAAAGTAATTACTAGATCAAAATTACTCAAACATAGATCTTCTGCGGAATATTTATTTTGTCCATGACATTGTTGTTCTTGCACCGATTTCTGCAAGAGGAATATATGTTTGAGTTCAAGAGAAGAACAGATTCCTTTCAACTTATCTGCTCACAAAACACTAAACAATTTTTCCTCTACAATTAAAATATATGCTGAGGTAAAAATATAAGCTAATAACTATCTAACTGAAGGGCTTGGCACCATTATAAAATGAAGATTCAGACTACCAATGATGATTATACAGAAAGGCAATGCAGGAAGCACTATGAGTTACAATTATTATGCATTTATTGCCTAGAGGAAGGGGCAAAAATGCCAGAGAATGAAAGTTTTCTTTGTACAAGCAACCCATAGGCTCTTTGGTTAAACTCAGGCATTCCACATGCCTACAAGAAACAACATGGATTACAAAATACTGCATGCAAGACAATTATAAAAAGCAGAAGAGGCAACCCCATCTCTTCAGCAAATGGGATAGACAGGCATCTCAGTGTGTCTGGGTTTTTTCCCCCCTGCTCCCGCTTTTATGTAAGGTTTTAATTTAATTTAGTCTATCTTCTAACTGTGCATCTTCAGGCACTAATGTTATGCACAACCACATTTATTTTATGGAAGAACTATTTCCCTATAGGGATGATATGAAAAGCCTTAAAATGCTTATACAGAACAAAATTACCTTTCATCACTTTTGAAATATGGCTCCACAAAAGCTTTCTGCTTGGCTTTATCTTGTTTGTCCTCGTGTTCTGTAAACGTACAACCAAAACAAAAAAAAATTACATGTCATATAGGGTTAACAGACTGCCTGGAGAAACATCTGTAGAATTAGTCAGAAATTAAGAATTACAAAAATGCCATGTACATTCAGACTGACATAACAGATTCAAACAGACACTAAAGATAGTATAACATTGACTGAACCAGTGATCAAAAAGCATTAATGGATTAGAAGGAAAACAGCACCGAGACAAGTAAAAAAACCAAACAGAATAGCAAAGGAAATGTTGCTTAAAATACAAAATGCTGTGAAACCTTTGACAGAATCTAGGACAGGGAGAAGAAATGAAGCAAGTAATCTGCAGCCAAAGACTTGTGTTTCCTTTAAAAGTCACTTTGCTGTACAGCTCCTGTGTCAACTTCCATTACATATCTCATATATGTGTGGGACTACCAAAATAATTTTCATATTGGTTCATGGTATGTCCTTACAATGAATAAATTTTCCCACGAATTTCTGAAAAATGGACTGAGAGTTTATTTGGTGTCTTTGTTCCTAGAGAACACAGTCTGATTTCCAATCAACTTTTAAAGTGTACCCAGGCTAATAAAGACAAAACAAATTATATCCTACTCTTCAGTTTCTTGCTTGCTGCTGTCATTCCCTTATCCTGCTCTTCATCATGAAGAGTTTCTTTCTCATCGCCTGTAGAAGGACAATCTTCTGGTAGGCAGGATTCATATTCTTCATGGGTTGTCCGATCAAACATCTCTGCGAAGGTATCATTATTTTTTTTTTCTCCTATTATAAAAAGCATAACAAACGTTCAAATCAGTCTCTCAAGATTTTAAGTCAAAAGAGCGCATTTTGACTGCATGTGTATGAAAAGAGCTAACATTACCTCCTGCTCCAGTACTGATTAACTAAATATCAACTACACATTTATTCTTTCTGCAACTTCTCTGTCAATCTTCAAATGTGGCCAATGCTTGTTTTTCATAAAGACACCTTGATCTCATTTCTAAAATTTGACTAATTGCTAAACCATTTTGATGTACCTTTAACCTTAAAACTGGATAGATGCAATTTTTATTCTTGTAATTATAGAGTTATCCAAGCAGAAGAACATACTTTCTGTGGGTAGGAGATAAACTACAGAAACGTGATCAAGTTACCTGCCCTGTTAAAAGTCACTGCCCTGCAGCCATGATTCACTACATCTCATACATTGCGATATAAACACATTTGGATTTATTTTAAATACACTAGCTGTATTTATATGTCATTATAAAAAAAATTAGTCTTCCTGTGCTAAATCTGATATGATTACATAGCAAACTTTCAAAGCTGTTTGTTGTAAGCGCGGTTGTTGCACAGGAGATGAGAACTATTATACAGCTAAGTACTTAACTCTTTAGGCACTGTAAAAGCATAGCTACTAAGCAGAAATTCTTTCATTAATAGTTAAAAAAAATAAGCAACAACTACTGATTTTACTAGGAAACTGATCTTTGTAACCTACAAAAATACATCAGTGCTTTTTAATTGCAAACTTTTTCCTATTATCTACTAATACATAAAGAAGTGCCCTTTTACTCTTTCCTCCTGCTAAACAAAAACAAAAATAAAAAAGGCAAAATGAAGGGGAAAAAAAAGGCTTACTTGGACTGCTTTCCTGGTTTTGCTCTTGTTTTTTCGTTTTTAATAACACACTTTCGCTAACATATGTATAATCCAAATCAACAACTTCCCCTCCAACTCTTGATTGAGAACTCCCCTAAATAAAAAAAAGCAAAACATGACAACTGCACTCAGAAGCAACTGGTGTAGTCAGTGTCATTGCTGTATATCTGACAAGCTTTCACAACAGTTACTGGCATGTTTTGAACACTTCCTGTGATTTTATTTTTTCTCTCCTGCAGTGAAGTCCGCATGATAAAGATGTAAAACCTAGGTAAGAGAATAACATGTTTTGAAATTCAGGTGTGAAACGTTTATCTTGTGGATTGCGTTACCTGATGGGCAACAATGCCTGAAAAGTTTTCATGTTAAATTCCACAAAGATAAAAAGTAACAATGAAATAAACAAAAATTAGAAACTGGTCAAATGAATAGCCTGTAAATGAGACAAAACAAAGATTTCAAGATAATTCTCAGAGATCCTAATAACCTGCACCCAACTCAAAGGAAGATAATAGCCATTATCTGCACATTTTCTATTACTTAACATAAAGAGTTATTACAGTGAACATTGCACAGGAAAACTTGTGAGATTTAGAACTTTTGTTCTAAAAAACCAAAAAAACACACCGAAACATATTAGTTTCACACTGAGTAGCCACCTGGCAGAGTTTATCAAATACAACTATACAGTGGAAATGATTTAGGCTAACTGTGGATATTCAGGATAACTACGCATGAACAAACATTTTACAAGTCCAAACAAGTATCAACCAAATGAGCCAAACTTAGATTTTCGTTAGAAAGTGATTTTAGTGTGCTCAGGATAAAGTTCACAACACTACTTCTGTAGGCTTTTTTCATTATTACAGAACATGCAGACTTGTTATACAAGTTTACCTTTGTATCAATCACAGTAATATCCATCTCATACTGTGAAATGTCAGCTCCTGGGTCTAGGCTCCACTGGAGGTTTTCTAAAGAAGGTTTATCATTCAGGTCTGGATGCAGAGAGTAGGAGCAAAAAGACAAACAATCAGAATCAAATTCTGCCAACAGCATCCCATAGTGCATAAATAAGTCAGCTTTCCTTTTGCCTGTTAATCTTCGCGTTTAGAGACTGGTTCCTCTCAAACAGCAAACATGCTCATTTGGTACAGATCATTTTTTTTGAGGAGTTAGAAACAGGTCTTTACGTTTTTTGTCATATTCAGGGAGCACACCGCTCTTTTGTGTTTGTATGAGGTTATGTAATATATAAAATACTCTTGCAGGTAAAATGTCTGTAAAATTGGTAATATTCATACTGGATAAAAGATATTAGATCATTAAGAATACAAATGTAAGGTCTTAGAATACAAGAGTACAAAAGTATCTGGTAATTGTTCCAGAGATGGCTCTTGATTTATCTGTGATTTAGAGGTTTAGATTCCAAGCTATATGGCCACACCAACTACTGGCAGATTTTTTTTTTAAATTCATAATGCAAGTATTTCTAAACAAAACATGCAGTGTAACAGCTCAGCTAAGGAGACGCAGGAATTCTACAATCTCAGTTTGAAAAACAAGTTTTCAGACTGAAACCACTTAATAGGAAAGAAGATACAACTTCTGTGAAGAGCATATGGCAGCATTTGTTCATTATCATTAAAGGAATAAATTTCTTTAACAGATGATCAGGAATAATGAAAAATATTACACTTAAGTGCAGTTTTCATGTATTTGATATAGTTTGAACTCAAACTTTCTGAGATTTGAGTTCAGTATCTGTTATTCATACACTGCAGTAAACAAGAAAGAGAAAGATTCCTAGCCTGTTGAGTTTACAGATAAATGCCAATGATATATTTATTATACAGTGGCAAAAGAATGCCAGGAAGATACAGACTGAAAATGTGGGGGGTGACCTTGAGAAGTCCTGAATAGAATGAGACTGAATTATAAGCAGAACAGAGGAAGTGAGTGAAGTGGGTGACAAGAAGATATGAAAAATTCTGTTCAGCCATAGCACAGGCTGGAGGATTAGGAAAGCAACAAAAGGAAATTTTCACCAAGTTACCTTGCTCATCTTGCAGTCGTTGATTTTTTGATAGTCTACAAGGGTTTGGTTGAAGTACAGATGCTGGTTCAGACTCTCCATGTTCTGTCCTTGTTTTCTTTCTATTTGGTACATGGCCGCTGGCAACCTAACAACACACTGCAATTTTACTACTTCCCAAAACTTCAATATAGTATTTCAAGAGATTAAAATAAGTAAGAAGAGCATACCTTCACATCGTCAAAAAGTTGCTCTGTGTCTACAGAACTTGGCAGTGGTGCAACTTTGAAGGGAGGAACTTCTTCTTTCATTTGGATCTGTTTTTTCTTATCCAGGAATGTTTTTCCCAGCACTGCCTCTTGTACATAGGATTCGTCTTGTAAACCTCTGCCAAGCAAACTGCTCTCATTGCTGGCATTTTGAACAGATGATGAAACTTCAGGAATGGGCTTCCCAAACTGTGAAAAAATATCATGCAGAGTCACCTGTTTCAGTCTATTTTTACAGGTGTCCTCACTTCCTTCTTTTTTCTCTTGACAACGAACTCCAGAGAAGCGATCAGACAGGTCCAACGGCTTATCAACTGTATGCTCCCCATTAACATGCTGAATGTCTGACTGAAAGGGCACAGAGTTCTCTTTGTTGAAGGATGTCTTTTCACAGCTAACTGCATGCTCATCTTCAGCTTTCCTTCTCTTAGCACACCTGCCTTCTAGCTGCTTCTGGTGTACAAGAAGGAAATCGCTCTTGATCACCCCATTTTTAGCTGTGCAAGTGTTTCCAACACATGTTACAGTCTCAGTGTTCTTCTTCACAACCATTTGCCTAATGATAGAGGCCTGGCTGATAACCGAGTTGATTTCCGTGCCAAGGTTCAGTGGTGCAACAAAAGCAACATCTTCAGATTTTGATCTACTTTTATGAGATCTGCAACTGGAAGGATTGTTGAAGAGGTTAGTTTTGATATTAGGCTTCCATCCTGAATCTAAAATAGAACTGGCATGACTTGTACTTGAGTTGTTCTTCATACTGCCAGAAGCTCCAAAAACTGGAGAAGCTACCCGAGAATCCCAATCAACATGTGGCGGAGTGTTCTGAGATGGATCTGAAAGACTGAATACAATGAGAGATTTGGTATTTTTATGGCATTTCACAGAGGGCTCAATGGAGAGAAAGAGATATGCAAAACTTACAGGTTTCCTATCAGTAATCTGTTTTAAAGCTGTCAGAGTTACAAGTATTAACTGAAAACAGAATGAAAAAGAAAAGGGAAATTTTTGGCCTAAGAGTAAGTACTGTTGCCCTTAAGAGCTGCAAAAGGCAAACAAAACACTGGCCTTGTCCTTCATTTTAGTATGGTGTTAAATTCTGTATCACATTCAACTGAGAACCAAGGACAGAATTAAGCCTACCTCAGAATCTCTTCTACCAAAGTACTTCCTGCCTTTCAATGCAGTGAAATGGAAGAAAATGAGAACCGCTGCAGTAGCAGTTTACCTGTGTTCTCATATAGATCTCATAACAGCTAAAACAGATTCTCAGAGCTTCTGCAAGTGAAGGAAAAATGCACAAGCTTCCTTCAGGTACTCTGTTTTTTACCTGTCATCAGTAGAACACACATTTAAGAAGACAAGTAGGGGCTTAAAACCATTTCAGTTTAGATCACAACATCCCAAGGAGAGCAGGAAGGGCAAAAGTCGACCAGTGTGACATTTAGTGAGTAGAAAAGTCTGATGATCATTTTGCTACTCCAGCTCCAGGCCCCTTCCCTTCAGCTTTATGGGCCTCAGAAAATACCTCGCAATAACAACAAGTCAGCGAGGGAGGGGCTAGGTACACAGAAAGCCCAAATCAGAATTTTGAGAATGAAGTTTTGCATTCTATCAGTTCCTTTGCTTCTAATATTACTTACTTGAAAGAAGCCTGTATAATACAGAAATATTTATTTACATGTTTGTATCTTTAAAGCAAACTGCTGTAAAGTTTTAAATTCTGCTAAAACCAGCACTTGATTTAAGCCTGCTTAAAACAATATTATTATAACCAAGTGGAAACACACCCTAAATTCTTGTCATCATTTCTTGATTCAGAAGCTGGATGTTTTCTAGAATCTTCAGACTGCATGCTCTCTGGGGCCTGGCTCATAACAGCATTAGCGCGTGGAGGACTCAGCATGCTCTGTGACTCCTTGCAAGCGGTGAAGAAAAACAAAAGAAAGGAAGTGTGAGAAGCTATTAAAATTAAAAATTAGAAACACGCGAAATTTGTACATATTTTGAAGACCCATTCAGATTTGACCATTCAAAACTCTTAAAAATAACAAAAGTTAAGAGACACAAAATTTTGACCAACAACTTTAAAGAAATCTTACGGAAATTAAAAAATTTCATCACGTAAATGCATGCGCACAAAAAGCAGTCAGCACACTAACAGTTTCACTGTAATTACGAAAAGTCAAACAATCTCACCGAGTCACCAGTCTCTTCAGCAAATAATCTTTTTCATTTTCTTAGATTTGATTACTGCACAAAGGGCGTTTGGCAGAACCAAAGATTTAGTCGAGTGTCTTAGTCAAATCTGAAAATTGTACACACTGCGGGAACCACGTCTCCACCCTCCTCCCCAACCCCTGGACAGATCAGCAGTGCTACCTCTTCTTGCTACAGCAATTCTGCAATGAGTGAGCAAAAGCGAACCAAAATGAGACTACTGAAACCTAGAATACTTTTGCAGAGTTTTAATGCAAAGGAGAAAAATACTGGTTTTGAGAATAGCCGGCACAAGTCGATTATGGAAGAAATCTGGGAATACTACTCACAGGTTCCTCTTGAACATCAAGTCCAATTGTTTCCGCCACAACTGCAGCCAAGTTAAAAGATGGCTTTGGAACAGGATAACCTCCCACCCTTGGTTTATCTTTATGAGTAGAAAGAAGTGCACAGTGAGCTACATATACGTTATAGTATCTTACTGCACTCACACAAACGGTACCAACACAGTTTCCCTTCTTTCAGGGTTTTACTGTTACTCAGCTTATTAAACTGGGGCAAGGCAGTATGTTGGGATACATGAATGATTTCAAAATGCTGATTCTTGCAGTCATTTATAGTTAAATACTCCACACAAAAAAAATCAGGGACACAACAAGTTCTTGTCAGAGAACTGTTTATGAAGAAGGACTTGAGATTTGAAGACATGTACCAATTAAAAATTGGAAGAAAAAGGAATAATTTACAGAAGTATTTCTAAATGTTGCGTATTCACATTAGACAGTAAGTGCAATTCTCAGAATATTTTATCTCCTGTACAGTTGGAATATCAGATCTAAGGCAACTGGATAAGTTTTCTACACTAGAAAATATGTACAACATGAGCTGCACTGAGCTTCTTTCTGTTTCTTGACTCTAAGCCCTGAGGCTTGGTGTTCAGACAGGCATTGCAAGATACACATTTCAGCAGCAATTCTGTGATTAAATATAATATCATTTTTCTGGCATCCTTGTTTAAAGGGATGAACCCTCAGTCTTACAATACTTTTTGTCTTATTTTGAATGAAATTAGAACTAAATCTATTAATACACTTACTTGTCACAGGGGACAACTGTGGATCACAGGTGTCTGCCACTAGTATCTCTTCTCCATGGTGACTGTTAACTTGTGTGGAAAATAGAGGAATTTTTCCAAACTCTAGAAGAAAATGTAGAATCATTCTCACGTGGTGAAATTAGGTATTCAGTTCTGATAGTTTTGTATAGATACTGACCATGATCCTGACCTTAAATGCACTTGAATGTGAGTTTTGGTATGTCAGTAGATCCAGTAATCTAAGCACAAATCTTTATTTTTATTCTGAGGTATCACTGTAACAAATTAGTTGCAAATATTTCATATTATTCCTTTCTCTCACAAATGGGAGCCCAAACAATCAGTCATTGAACAGTTCTGACACATAATTACATCCCTTTCTACACTGACCACATAAAAAGGTCTATATTCAATCTGTGTTACACAGAATCATTGTATGATTCTATTTGATCTGTTAATAAAACAACAAAACTATTACAAGAGTAGAGCATCCCAGGGGATAATTTTCTGAATCAGCTAAGTTAATGCAATGGTGTAAAACTTCCAGACTTAAACACAAAACAAATGCACACAGTGTATCAGTACCAGAAAAAAATAAGGTCATGTAGCTGCTAGAATTCGGTATCTGTCACTTTCCGTATTATTGGTGATTGTCCCTCTGTACTCAAGGCCGCACCTTGAGTATTGTGTTCAGTTTTGGTCACCTCAGTATAGAAGAGATATCGAGGTGTTGGAGCGAGTGCAGAGGAGGGCAACAAAGCTGGTGAAGGGCCTGGAGAACAGACCTTATGAGGAGCGATTGAGGGAGCTGGGTCTGTTCAGTTTGATGAAGAGGAGGCTGAGGGGGGATCTCATCATGCTCTACAATTACTTGAAAGGACATTGTAGAGAGGTTGGTGCTGGTCTCTTCTCACAGGTAATTAGGGACAGAACCAGGGGGAATGGTTGCAAGTTGCAACAGGGCAAGTTTAGGCTGGACATTAGGAAGAAATTCTTCACAGAAAGAGTGGTCAGACACTGGAACAGACTGCCTAGGGAGGTGGTTGAGTCGCCATCCCTGGATGTGTTCAAGTGTTGTTTAGATGGGGTGTTGGGTGATATAGTTTAGGGGTGAACTTGTAGTGTAGGGTTAATGGTTGGACTCAATGATCCCAAGGGTCTTTTCCAACCTCAATTGTTCTATGATTCTATGATTATTTTAATTGCAGAATAATTGTCCAGTATGGCAAAACATTTATTTTGCTCTCCACTAGATGGTGACATAGCTGTATGCACAAGTAAAACCCTAACGTGTTTTTTTAGTTTGCAGTTACAGAAGAGACAGTGGGTGGAAAATTGCTATATTTGCATGTGTATGTGGATGAAGGAAAGTAGGAGGTTGAGATAAACCTTGAGCATATCACTGATATAAGTTACTGCTAAAGACATTTTTCCCCTGACTCATGTATTATAGCATGAATGGAAAAAAGTCAAATTAAAACACTTTTTTTTTTAGTTTTCAGCCTTTGCAATCAAATTTATACATCATCTTCTTCTTTAGCCCTTAAAAATATTTTTAAATTAATTAAAAAAACCCAAACAAACCATTAAATCAATATTCTTACCACTGTTGCTTTCCACAAGTTCCACATTTGGGTGTGTATGTTCTGTGTATCGGATATGCCTATTTTCTTTTTTTCTTTTCATACGATTAACCACAGAAAATGAAGAAGTCAGAACTGGAGAATCTGGAATTACTCCTTCTTCTAATTCCAGTGCTTGTTGCTTTCGCTCCCTGAAGACCAAATTAGGTGGTCAAACAAAACCCCAAGCCAGCAAGATGAAGAGCTTTCATTTCAGCAAGCAGGACAATCATACGGTTCAAGAAGGCAACAATTTAGAAAATACAGCCATCTCAATAACATCACAGTGCAAAAAAGTAGTACTTGAACTCAGTTTTTAAATACACTTAACCTCAAATTCATAACTGCTCCATCAAGCCTAAAAACAGCATACACCCCTTAGCTGCTCACATTGGAAGTTAACATTTAGTTACTGCGCTATAGAAGACTTTTCCCCTGGAATATACGGGGGACTAGAGCGTTTCTAACTCATTCTCTGAAGCACGTGCTCCTTGAATGAAAGAATGCTGGAATGGATGAACTTGTATCCTTCCCCCTGTATGGAAGTCTCTGCATATCCCAAGAATACTGTTTTAAATGCAAACCAAAAGCTTTAGGGCAACATTAAATAGTAATGAACAGCACTATATTCAAAGCAACCCCTCCTCAGAACACTGGATGTTACCTCTTACTCACTTCACAAAGGTCTTCAAGAAGAGCATAAAAAGCAATGCAAACCATGCAAAACACAGTATTAGTTGTGAAGTTTATTTTCTCTCACGCTGTCAGCTCTAACAGCATGGTGCGGAGTCAGTATACAAAAGCCTAATAAATAACCATGTCTTTTCTCTCAAAAAAATCTAACTAAATACAGTAAGGAAATAGCAACAAAAAAGCATTAATTTCATTTCTTTTAAGCTAAATGTTTAGTACTTAATGAGGACATTGTGACCTGTCATATGGTGTTGGTAGTGAGAAATACAAGAGGCAGTAAAAGAAAAACACAAGGAAATCTAACTCGGCTTGCTTGGTCATCTCTCTACAGAAGCACTTTTCCTTATGACTCCCAAGAGAAAAAATGGGCCAAAAGATCATTTCTTAACTATAAAAATAAGGATGCAAGGGTTTGATCTAAGAGAAGAAGAGGAAATGTGGATATATTTCTGCTTGCATTGAAAGGAACCACAAGATCTTATGTAAAATAAGTTAATGGAAATCTGTAGAAAGTTGCCTGGCCTGAGATAAAAAGCATTTTTACAGATAGGCTTCTTCCCATGACTAACTCTGAACACTTAATGACAAACATTGATGTACTGATGCTCTGAAATCTTGACGAATCCTATTGTGTGATTTTGTAATTCCTCTTTTCTAGCACATTTACAAAGAAAGCACCATAACTGGAAAACTGTATCATCTACTAACAATATCTTACGAAACTAATCAAAATGAACAGCAAAACAATATACTCATCCAGTCACTCTGCAAATTTAATTTAGCTGTTACACTTGTCTTTATATTTACTGGCCCATGCAGCCTTGTATAGTAAATTAGCCTACACAAGAAAAGCACCACCTCTGCCTTGCATAGTGCACGATATCTGCATATTAACCTCAACATTACATGGCACACTCTTGCTATCATATCACATTACAATTTGACCGTAAATTTACAGATCATTATTTTTATGGTTTTCTTTTGAAATTTACGAGGCTTTTTTCCTTCTGAAAACTGTAAAATCATCATTGGTTTATTTAAAACTCTTATTGAGAGACCCTGGGACTTGTTAACTAGATGAGAAACTACTTTTCTGAAGAATGAGATGTAAGGCTCTGCTATGCACTGTGACCAGAATAATCTTGAACAATCATGAAGTCAAACAGAATTCTGTGGCAAATTTATCACTCTCAGTTTAAAAAAAGACAGACGCACACAGTTAAGAGAGGAAAAAATAGGCACTATACAAAGAGGCTGGGTTTATGTAGTTATAGTGGCAGACGACTATCTTTTAACAATCTACTGAAAAAGAGGAAACTCAAGTTCTAAAGACTTCAAAAAGTTGATTTTTACATTCCCAGACATTACTACCGAGGAATGAGGAGGGAAAGAAAAGGGAAAGAGGAATATCCAGAGAACCTCAAAACTTACTCCAGCTCCTTCTGTAATTGCTGGAACTGTTCAGTTATCTTTTTATTTTCATCCTGTAAGTTGTTTTTTTCATTCACTGCAATTTATAGGAAAAAAAAGGAGAGAAAAAAAAAAATCAATGCACACTTGTTAACATCATATCTAATTTTGTCAGGTCCTTTAAGGAAATAGAACCAATGCTAAAACATAATACCATACATCCTCTCGATGGCTTACCAAAATCGATTTTCAAGGTAGTTATCAAAAGGTTGTAGAATGATGTGTTAGAAAAGGCAAAGGTGTCACAATTACTGGATCATAATATTAGTTCTACACAATCATTAATTACTTTTGTCCATGTACATATAAGTGAAACTGTTGGAAAGATGAATGAATTGCTCAGTCAGCTCTATGAACAAAATTACTTCCTTAGGTTGAAGACAGCCTATAAAGTAACTAGAACTTAGTTTTGGCCACTGAAAAGACTAGCTAATTGGAGAGAATAGGAAAAAAAACCAATCCAAAAGTAAACAAACATAACAATCAGGTAAATATTTTTATATTTAAGAGACTTGTCAGAATTATTATTTTTTACTATTCTTAATTTCCCATTCATTCTGTCTGTACTTCATACAAGCTTATTGCATCACCTTCAGCCTTTTTTTCATGCTGTCTCAAACTAGTATAGCAACAGCCCTCAACTTTTCTGTTCACTTTAATTTTTATTTTCCTGTTCTTATTGTTGTCTATTTTACCTCTGGATTATTCTTGAATGACCAGTTTTGCTAGTTGTAGAAAACATATACATTGTCATATAGATCTCAGCCCAAATCCGCAGCAGACTACTGTTCTGTCAGATGGTGTTCAAGGTTTGTACCTCATAGACTTCACCACGATTTTTAACGCTCAAAGCGTTAAATTTAAAAATTAGTCATACTGTTTGTTCTTAATCATTAAACTCAACGATTCAGAATATCTTTATACAATATCCAATACTGTAAGTCCTTGCAAAGTGTATGTATTTCATATATATAAAAGTACAGAATTTAATATTTCTATAGTTTAATTAAGCACTGAAAAGCTACTTTTTGCGCCTGGCATTTACTGTATTTTAAATCTCACTGCATGATGCTTGTTCTTGATCAAGCAAGACAACTAAATGACACAAAATAATTAATTGCCAGTAAAAATACCACTAACACTTTAAAATCCCGTCCTGTATTATTTAGCACTTTATACAACCTTTCCAAACTCTCTCTATGGCGAGAATTGTTGTGTCCTGCCTTCAGGTCACCCAGAACAAACTTTTTTTTTTTTTTCCTGTCCCATATGTGCTACTTCCTGATTACAAAATGAGCTGGCTACAAGCTGCCTGTTGTAAAGTGATCTTTTGTGGCTTTTGAGGGTTATGTGAAGGTTATGAGTTTACTGCAGTTAAATTCCAGGACCTGCTACAGGACACAAGCTGGACCCACGGGACTCGAATTTGCTACTTGGTGATCACCAGGGTTTCCTTAGGAAAGCTGGCAATCCCTCATTCCATGCTTCAGCTGTAGGAATAAATAGAAGCAGCCACATTTTATCTACAGTAGCTACTTTACACAGTAGGATTTTCCACATCAGTTCACTTTCAGTATCAGCACTTCAATCTAAGAAGGCGGGTCAAATGACCAGCAACTGGTATGTCACGTATTTCCAGACTAGAGTTAAGTATCCCCTGACTGAATTTATTTGGCTTACTAAATACACCATATATAAATTATATCAAGTTACAGGAAATCATGAAGAACCAGTTTACAAAATACTGTGTTTTGGTTTCAGACTCGCGGATAAAACTCACTAAGCTCAGTGATAAGCTTAAGATTCTGCTGTCGGATGTTTTCAAACTCCTGCTGCTTCTTTCTCATATGTTCTTCAGTTACAGCACAACGATCACATAATCCTGCTCTTAATCTACAACAAAATTAAGAGAAAAAAAGTCTTGCTGTTATGAAAATATTGCCATATATGAAGCTGATATCCACGCTTAACAGGCCTTTTGAACAATGAAAACCAGAAAATTTCTGACAAGTATGCAGAACACACAAAGTACTGTGGTTTTATATGTTGACATAGCACTGTTTTGAGATTCTGAATGATCTGATACTACCTGTACTAATGTTTCCATAAATGACAGTAGGTAATCGATACTTCTAAACATGCATTACTTTATTGAAGTGTGCTGCACCTTGCCACCAAAAGCCTTTGTGAGGTGTCCTAAGAATACTGTCAGATATAAACTACCATACATTGTAAGTAAAGTTCAGTCAAGTCAATACAAATAAGCAAATAATTTCAGTGAATACAATTATTGCTTCATCCAAGGAGGATATATCGTTGTCATTAAACAAAGTAATCAAATAAAAAGGACAAATAGTTAAGTTCACTCTGTAAGAAATACTAAGTAAATGTGATATCCTCTGCCCTTATCTAGACACCAGTAATTAGAAGTGGATCCAAAAGGCCATGCAAAGCATTGCCCTCCTTGTCTCTAATGGTTTAGATCAGCTGTTTAAAGCATATCTGCTATCAGAAAAGGACTTCCTGCGATCACTCCACCTTACCTGACACATTCACTCATGCAATGAAATGTGTGCTCATTTTACAGGTGAAAACTAAAGTGTATTTATTTCTGGTACACAACAAAAAGCTAACAGTATTACCAAACTGAAAACCAGGCTCTCTTTTTGCTTGCTAAATGAGAGACCAACTAAGAGTTCTGCATTGCAGCTGTTAGCACATGAAATACCAAAACAAAAAACCCAATCATCTAAGTTTCCAATTCCACAGTTGGATATTGGAAGTAAAAGTCATCTTGGTTTATGGGTATTTTAATATTATGAAATTATAAAATGCCTCACCTTACTAGCTTGTCTAACTGTGTAATAATCACAGTATTATCATCTCCTTGTATCAAGCCACTTTAAATACCCTTTTTGTTTTCTGCAGTGCAAGTACTTCGTCTGCTAAGGAATTAGAAAAGTCCATCCCCTCCACAAATGTCTCTCTACCCATGCAGTATGCAAGTTGTTACCCACACGGTTCCAGGTTTATTCCTAATGCCTTTCACAGAGAAAGCGCTGAATGCAAAATCTGAGTATCATAGCCCTAAAACTTGCAGTAATACAGGAATTTGGGAAAATAACTAACTGTGTAATGATCTCCTGTTCTCAGAAAGCTTTTGAGAGCCTATCAGCAGCAAATTTAACATACATATTTGAAAAAAGGTATCATTCTTAAAGACCAAATTCCTGTCTATTGGTTTTGTTCTGCTACTTCAGATTAAATAGAAACAAGTGAGAGAAAGGCAGAACAGGTCAAAAGGTCTAAGCTCAAAAGAAGGCAAAAATCAGAACCTGTGATTAAATTTAGGTAAAACAGGCAGCTGGTTAAAAAGACCTCCTCAAATCTTAAAATTGCAAAGTATCCAGAGCTACTCTGTAAGAGCAAAACACAACAAACCCAAAAGCTAAAAGACACTACTTCACCTGTCTTCTAAAACCTTGATAGTGTCATGAAGTGCTTTTTGCTGTTCTCTGAGCTGTTGATTCTTGGTATAAAACTCTTCAAGCCTCTCTGCATCCCTGAAATCAAATACAGGAAAAATTAGTTCCAGTTTTACATTACAACTATTAGTTTTTTAACAGAGAATTCTCTCTGGCATGTTTCTTTCACATTCTTTGAAAATGTGATTATCATCAGCAGAAATATTAAGTTGAAGATAAATGAAAGAAGTATTTCTGATGAGCAGTAATTTAGAAATGTCTAAGTCAGGAAAGGAGGAGCTAATTTCTAATTCATATTGCAGTTGAGCTTCTGTCAATTTTTGTGCAGGACAAAAGTTAGAGCTGATGACAGTCAAGGCATAAAAGTTAATATAATTCGAGCAATCATTCTGGGGAACATAAGCTTCTCTTATTTTACTGTGTTTTGGAGCTGTTGCAAAGCTATTTGAAGGCTTTCACAATCAGGTCACAGTTTGGTTTTATCTTAGCATTGAGTGCATCTTGCATTACAGCAAACCACATTAAGTTTGCAAAGCTCTGACAAATCTTTAGATGCATTAGAGGTTTAGTTCCTCAAGAAACAATTCCCGGAGTCTGGAGAACATGGATTCCCATAATATCAATAGAAAGAAGTTTCTTTTCCAAAATCTCCGAAGTGTAAGGTCTTGGGCAAAATACCTTCTCTAAAAGTCAGGACTATTTAATTGGCGAAGAGTACTTGCTCCTCTGAAGAGATAAGGAAAAGTAATAACATTAACTTCCCAACGTCAGCCCTTTTTCACTTTTATTATCAGGTCTCAACACCTCTTCAAGATGCAAACAAGGTATGAGCAACAAGCACACATTTATTTTCTACAAGGAAATCAACTTTCAGTAAAAGCTGAGCAGCTCAATCTATGGAACATGACAATGACTAACTTCTGTGACCTCATTCCTAGCTCTTTTTATCCTAGAAACCTTTGTATATTCCATGAAAACAGTGTTTGTTTTCAGTGTGCCCAAGCTGGATTATTTGTGGGAGCCATCAAACTGTCTCACAAAAAGCTGCCAAGCACACACACAACAGGAAACGAAAATACATTTACTAACAGTGTACAATCACAGGCATAATTTACTAATTCCGAAACTTAAGTACAGATATTTTATTTTTCTGTAGTATCACCCAGACCAATAATGTCCCTTTCAGCTGCATAGGCAACATATAAACAGTTACATGTAAATAGCATCTGGGACCATTTAAGACTTGAATTTTCACTCGAGGAGGAAAAAGTGTCAAAGTTCTGTTACCTCAGTTCATTAAGCAAATACAACCAGGTCATGGCAACATTTGAACTCTGACAAAAGCAGCCTGTAGTTCTGTGATGTTTTTGGCACTAAAAAAACCTGTGGTTTTTTCTGTTTTAATTCCAGTTTATGCAACTTACAAAACCTAAAATACCAATTTTTAAAATCTTTTCTCAAGCTACCTTTAAGTCATTGCATGGCTTTAAGTTATTTGTAAAGAAAAATAAAATTAAGATATTAACATACAGTAATCCTTCATGCCTTCCACGTAAAACCTGTTAATTTTCACATCAAAACAGTAAAATGATATAAGGAATTAGGCTTATTTATTTCTTTCTTTTAGAATTCCAGTGAACCTGATAAACACTACAGACATTTTTGGCTATGAAGGCGCTCATCAAAATGAATAGTTTCTGACCTAGCATTTACAAGTCATTACCTCCAATGCTGAAGTGGGACACAAAATAAGGCGCTCATTGTCAACTGATTACCAAGTCTGAAATACTAAACCTCAGGTATTCAGATGCACCAAGGAGAACAAGACCTCCTATGTAAGAGTATTGTATCTACAATGTGGTAATTGTAAAAAGATTCCAACAAACAATAATTAAACCATTCTGTATACTTTCAGTCACATCACTGATAATATTCACCATCTAGAAAATTAAGTGATCAATTTAAGATTTCAGAACATGGAAACAACTTGTGATATACCAGGTTAAGTTAACAGTAACAGCAAAAGATAATGCCATCCTTTTAGATTAAAAATGAAATAACTACTTTATTTATGAATTATACATAAAAAATAACAAGATGTTAAATTGATTTTTTTCGCAGGAAAGCAAGTGTAGCAGCCTCTAAGTATAAAACATATTTGCTAACTGAAAGCCATCTAATAATCTAATGTAATTTCATCTACTAACATTAGCATATTCCTTGTGACACTACAATATCAATCTTACATGTTCAGAAAGCATATCTTTAAAACGTAAACCAGAATAAGGTGAATGGTGTTGCGGAAGTGATTAATTATTTCTCCTTTTGTGAGTCTGTCCTGAACTGTTCCTTCAACTGCCCCTGCTACCTTTGAGCTGCTTCTCTGAAGCCTTTACTACTCAGAAAGTGCAAAAAACAATCACCTGCATCTGCTTTGCAAGCATCAGAGTGCCACCATGCAGACAAAAGTCAAAACTACGGGCAATTATCTACAGCCTTCACAGATGAGATTTGTGTGAACGCGGCTGAAATGTGAGAACACAACACAGTGCAGGCTCAAAGAGCTACCGTGGATTATCAAATGCCAGCAGGATGGGCAATATTTAACTGAAATAAGCAAAGCAAACGCTCAGAGAAGGTTAGAGAAATTACAAAGCATAAACAAAATCCAGGAAGATATCTAAGGGAAGAAAGCAACATGGGCACTACAGAAGTGAAGGCAATTAATTCGGAAGGCCTAGTGACAAGAACTAAGAACAATTTTCCTGGAAGTAAGACACAACTATAATAAAAGTATAATAAAATA